GTTTGAGGTCAGCCTGGTCTACAGAGTGAGTTCCAGGACAGCCAGAACTACAGAGGAAACTCTGTCTCGAAAAACCAGAACAAACAAACCCAGAAAAAAAAACCTAAAAACAACAGTAAAAAACCAGAGTGGAGGGCTGGAGAGATGGCTCAGAGTTTAAGAGCACTGACTGCTCTTCCAGAGGTCCTGAGTTCAATTCCCAGCAACCACATGGTGCCCTCTTCTGGTGTGCAGATATACATGGAAGCAGAATGTTGTATACATAATAAATAAATAAATCTCTCTTAAAAAATTCATTAAAAAAAAAAAAACCAGAGTGGCGACACGTGTTCCTGGTCCTAATATCCCCTCTAGAGACACCCAGCATAACACAGCCTCCTCCCACCAGACCCCACTCCCTCCCAGGGGTGCACAGGCTGGGGTCCTGGAAAGTGCCTGACTCCTGAAACTGTGTTGCAACTATCTGCCCTGATCCTGGAGAAAGCCCTAGAAAACAGATCTGTGGTCCCCTCCGGACCCTTGTCTTCCTCCTTGAGTCTCTGTACTCACCTCTGTATCTGAGCGCCTGTTGGATCTGCTTGGCTGAAATGGACCTGGAGAAACAAGAGAATTTGTCAGAAAGGAAGAGACTCTGGGGAACTTGGGAAGAGGGCGTCTGAGGGCTGTCAGTTAGTTCTCTTTGGCCTCTGCTTTGATGCAGGGCAGGGAAGAGCCAGGTACGGTGGCTCACACTTTAGAGGCAGACCAGTAATCTAAGGTTGGTCATCTCGGGCTACATATAGAATTTGAAACCAACATAGATTTACATGAAACCCAATCTCACAAAAAAAAAAAAAAAGAGGCCAGAGAGGTGGCTCAGAGGTTAAGAGCACTGACTGCTCTTCCAGAGGTCCTGAGTTCAATTCCCAGCACCCACACGGCAGCTCACAACCATCTGTAACTCCAGCTCCAGGGGATCTGATACCTTCTTCTGGCTGTGGTGCGCAGACATCCATGCAGACAAAACACCCATGCATGTCAACAAAACAAAACAAAACAAAACAAAACGTAAAGCCAGGTATGGTGGTGCACACATCCTTAATCCCAGCACTCAGGAGGCAGAGGCAGGCGGATCTCTGTGAGTTCAGGGTATCTGTATCTACATTTTGGATTCCTGGTCATCCTGGGCTACAGAGTGACATAACCTCTTGGTGTCTCAGTTCTGTCAACTGTCTAGCAGGGGTTAAATGGAAAATACCTCCTTTGTGGCAAGGGAATTGAAGACACTGGGGACACAGCTGACAACAACACAGACAGACAACCCCATCTTTCCAGGGCATTAATGATAATCATCGTAGCTAATGTATTCCCAGTGAGCGGCTCACATACAGCAAGTGCCATGCTAACCATGTGTCTGCATTGACACCTGCCACTCCACCCTGTTTACAGATGAGGAAACCGAGTCACAGAGATGAAGTCACCCCAAACCCCCAAGGTAATCACTAAAACAGGAGCTACAGGGTAGGACTATCTTGGAGGGGGAGTAGGCTCTGCCATGTAGCCCAGGCAGGCCTCCAGTCACAATCTTCCTGCCTCCACCTTCCAAGCACTGGGATGACACAGGACCCTGTCACCACTCCCATCTTGGAGTATGGCTTTTGACTGTCACCCAAAATGGCCCATGTGTTAAAGGTCCAGATGCCAGGCAAGCTGTCAGGAGGTCACAGAACTGTAGGAGGCAGAGCCTAGTGGGAGGAAGGTAGGTCATTCGAGTGTGACCTTGAAGGAATTCTTGGGACCCTGACATGTTCATTTTCTCCCTCTACCTCTCCTTGTTATTGTTATTTGTTTATTTTTTTGAGGCAAGTTCTCCTGTAGCACAGCTGAGGATACCCTTGACCCTGACACTTCCTGCCAAGCCCTCTGTGCTGGGGTTTGGCTCAGTGGTAGAGCCCCTGCCTAGAATCCCCCAGTGAGGGGCTGGGGGTGTGGCTCAGTGGTAGAGCCCCTGCCTAGAATCCCCCAGTGAGGGGCTGGGGGTGTGGCTCAGTGGTAGAGCCCCTGCCTAGAATCCCCCAGTGAGGGGCTGGGGGTGTGGCTCAGTGGTAGAGCCCCTGCCTAGAATCCCCCAGTGAGGGGCTGGGGGTGTGGCTCAGTGGTAGAGCCCCTGCCTAGAATCCCCCAGTGAGGGGCTGGGGGTGTGGCTCAGTGTCAGAGCCCCTGTTTAACGCACACAAAGCCCTGGATTCTATCTCCAGTACTTTCAAACCAAAACTAAAGCAAAACACTAAGACCTCCTGGCTGTACTGTGGGGGAACCCCCAATATTGGGGACAGGTGCCTGTGGAGGCTCGGGACCAAGGCTGCACATAGTGGGGACTCTTTTGCAGTGGCCCTGGCAAGTGGGTGGGGGGACTGAGGAAGAAGTGACTCACAATAACGCCACACGACTACAGCAGATACTATGAAGACAGCCACGAAGACGACGACGCCGATGACGATGCCAATGATGGCTCCCGTTGTTAAACGTGGCTGCTCAACGTCTGGAAAACAGATGAGCAGGTGAGGAAAGTTACCAGCTTTTATGTTACCCCTGCACCTTTGAAGCAACACCCCCACGTTTCCTGTGGGGAACCCCATTCTCTCAGTCTACAGTGTCCAGGTGTTGACCACATTTTACGATTCCTACAGTGGGATGCTTGCTGGTTTTGAGATGGGGGCTCCTGTAGCCCAGGCTGGCCTCAAACTTGTTCTGTAGCCAAGGATAACCCTGAAGCCCATTTCTCCTCCCCTCCCACTCTTCTCAAGCACGGATTACAGGCAGGCACCACAACCCCTGGTAGCTGGGGTGTTGCAGTTGGAACCCAGGCCTCCTTCCTTCCTTCCTTCCTTCCTTCCTTCCTTCCTTCCTTCCTTTCTTTCTTTCTTTCTTTCTTTCTTTCTTTCTTTCTTTCTTTCTCCTTTGGCCTGATCAATCAGGACATCCAGTTCTCCCTGGTTGCTGTTATTGGTTCGGATGTCAGATGTGACTAACAGGGAGCCAACGAGAGGCAGCCTGGGACTTGAGGTAAAGCTATTGAATGCAGCTATAGAATGAATCTTCCCTCTGAGATTCATAAAATGTGGAGCGTGGTGTCTTAGAAAACCCATCTTGACTCCCCAGGGGAAGATCCTGCCTGATATTTAACCCAGCCCTAGGAAGGCAAAGTTAGGCAATGTGACCAACTTAAAAAAAAAAAAAATTCTCGCCGGGCATTGGTGGCATTGCATGCCTTTAATCCCAGCACTCGGGAGGCAGAGGCAGGCGGATCTCTGTGAGTTCAGAGCCAGCCTGGTCTACAGAGCGAGTGCCAGGATAGGCTCCAAAGCTACACAGAGAAACCCTGTCTCGAAAAACCAAAATAAATAAATAAATAAATAAATAAATAAATAAATCTCATTATTAAGTGAGACAAGCTCTCACTCCATAGCCCAGGCTGGCCCCAAACTGTCTTTATCACTGCTTCAGCCTCCTAAGTACTGAGATGACAGGCGTGCACCCCCACACCTGGCTTCGGAGATAAGAGATGTAAAGGGAATTCCGTGGTAACGTGGGTATAGCTCCTGGATCTCACCATAACTAAATCTGTGCTTTCAACAAATCATTTTTCCAATTAAAAATTATAGTTGTTTATGTGTGGGCGCTTGCGTGTCTGTGAACGCGTGCCTGCCATGGTGGGTGTGAGCAGAGGTTTTAAAAGACATCTTGTGGAAGTCGGGTCTCTCCTTCCACTGGGTGCCAGGGATTGAACTCAGGCCATCAAGTTTGGCAGCAAGCACCTTTAAGCCTCTGAGTCGTCTCTGTGCAGCCGGCCCTCCCTCTCCAGCCTTACTTTGCTCAGTTGTGGCTGCTGTTTTTATGTCCACTGTGCTTGGGAATCCTTAGACATACCCAATTCCTGTCCCAGCCAGGGCTTATGCAATCTGTGACCTACGACCTGCTATTATTTCTGTCACACCCCTCCCAGGTCCCACCCCCGGGGGCTATCCTGCTGTGCCCTCCCCTCCTAGTCTGAGGACACCTCACCTTTAACATGGATGACTTTTTGGGCCTGCCCGGACCCTAAGGCATTGGTGACGTTGCAGAGGAAGGTCACATTATTGAGGGTGGCCTTGTCCACAGTGTTGATTAGGAGCTGATTGCCCTGGGGCTCAGTGGTGTTGGGCAGAGGACCTGTGGCCCTGGGGGAGACAAGATGGTGAGCAGGCGGCCTCTGCTGATGAGGCATCCATGGTGACACAGACTCACTCTGTTCTCTTCCAGGCAGCTAGCCTGTGTCTTCATGCTTCCAGGCTCTGGTTTCGGATTCGCCTCTGGCTGTTCCGAGTACGGCCACCAGAGGGCGCGCACGAACCCCAAATCCACGTCTAGGGCTCCCAGAGCCAGGCCTCAAGCAGAGCAAACTGTAGGCTCCAAGAGGGCACTAACACTCCATTCTGCAACAGCTGAAGGGCAGAGATGCATTTGCAAGTGTCCCCCTCTTTCCCCACAACGCCCTTCCTCCGTGTGAAGAGCTCTGCCTGGCCTTCCTGAGGCCTCGCCCCACTGTTTCTGCTGCAAAGCAACCGGTTTCCCTATTCCCCACCCCTGTTTTATCGATCCCAGACATTTCCCAGACACTTTTTATGACTTTACGTTGATTGGTGAGGCAGAGCGCTTACAACAGGGGGTTGGAGGATGGGCCCAAGCCCAGAGAAAATAGCCAAGCAGGCAGGTGGAGGGCTTGGAAGTGTGGAGGTCTCCCCCCGTTTTTTTCTTTTGGGTTGAGGCTAGAATCCATTCCAAATAATCTTTACCCAAGGAGCCACACCCCCAGCCCCTCACTGGGGGATTCCAGGAAGGTGCTCTATAAAAATAGTCACCTATTCCACAATTTGGACTGGTTTGTTTTATTTTTAGAAAGACTCTCACCATGTAGTTCTGGCTAGCCTAGAATTTGCTTTGAAGTTAGAGAGTCCACTTGCCTCTGCCTGTGCAATGTTGTGATTAAAATCATGCAGCACCCTTGGCCCTAAGGACGGGTTAAATAATTGATGACACACAGAATAGAATCTAACGACATTAAAATCTGGTGGCGACCCTAGGAATCCTAGCAACGGGGAGACTGAGGCAAAAGAATTGTCAATTCCTGGTGGTCCTACAGTCCCAGACCTTGGGAGCATGAGGCAGGAGGATTGCAGCAAGTTCTAACCCAGCCATGTTGAGGTCTACATAAAGAGACTGTCTCAAAAAGCCAAAAATGACCGGGCGTTGGTGGCGCACGCCTTTAATCCCAGCACTCGGGAGGCAGAGGCAGGCGGATCTCTGTGAGTTTGAGGCCAGCCTGGTCTCCAGAGCGAGTGCCAGGATAGGCTCCAAAGCTACACAGAGAAACCCTGTCTTGAAAAACCAAAAAAAAAAAAAAAAAAAAAAGCCAAAAATGGGGCCCAATGACCCGAGTTCGACCTCCAGGACTCACATGTTGGAAAGAGAGAACCAGTTCCTGCAAATTGTCCTCAGACCCCCACAAGCACACTGTGGTAAATGAGTAAATGTAATAATTGTTTTCAAAATACCAAATTAGATGAAGTGAAATATTAGTGGGAGAATCCATGGGGTTGGATTTTGGGTTTTTTTGTTTTGTTTTGTTTTGTTTTTTTGAGCATTCGTTTGGAAAATTCCTATGATTGTATATTTGAAAATTTCACTTCCAAGATGTTGGAGGAAACAGGGTTGTGAAACTATGTACTTTTTTTATATTTCTAAGATGGAGCAAAAGGTGTGGAAACTGCCCCTGGGGAAAAAATTACAGCTGTTGGGGACCAGAAAAAAAAGCCGGGACAGAGAGAGAGAGAGAGAGAGAGAGAGAGAGAGAGAGAGAGAGAGAGAGAGAGAGAGAGAGAGAGAGACTAACCAAAAACAGTAGTAGCTGCTTTGAAAGGTGGGTGGCTATACTTGAATCTACACACTGTTTTTGCTTCTAATGGAACTGTTTGAAAGTTCTAGAATGGTTGAGCCAAATTATTTTTCAAAAAAAAAAGAGAAGCCTAATAAAAATTATGTTATTTATATACATTATGGCAAGTGGTAGAGCCTGCAAGTAACTGAGAAATGAGACTTTTGGTGGGTATGGGAAGTACCTGTAATCCCAGTATTAGTGAGTTTGAAGTGGGAAGATTGTGAGTTCAAGGAAGCTGGAGCTATATAGCCAGGCCCATCTCGTACAGGGATAGAATTGTAGCTCAGTATTGAACACCTGCCTGACTCCCCCAGTGAGGGCCTGGGGGCATGGCTTAGTGGTAGAGCCTGCCTAGAATCCCCCAGTGAGGGGCTGGG